GCCTGTTGGTGGTCCACTGGCTGTCCTTCAGTGGACCCATTAGGTAGCTACAAACCACTGCATACCGGGAATACCCCACAAGACCTGCAATTTTGGAGAAGCTCTGACCCAGTTTTCTACCCATAACAGTTGGCCCTTGTCAAAGTCTTTCAGATTATAAACTCATTGTTTATTTGCTGCCAAATATATCCCACCCACTGGCAGGTGCCATTATAGGAAGATGGGCACCATTATTGCAAGAAAACCCATGTTATTCACTTTAACCGTCAGTGTTTTTTATGTTGGGACTAGTTGGTATATGCTTATTTTGAACATAAACCAACAACAACAAAAAAAATCCCAACACAACATGAGAATAGTGATATCAAGAGTCATTTAAATGCATGTTCAACTAGACATACTGCTCTACATTGTAGTGGTACAGTAAACTAACCAACCAAATTCTTCTGATTGCAGATTTGAAAATAGCTTCTAGCAATATTTGACAAAAAGAAAATAACTGCCGGGTTTATTTATATAATAAGGAAATGTCAGCTTTTCAACTTGGTGTAAGACTCAGTGTGCTCTCTGTTGGCTCTTATTGGATCTTTGTCTTGGTTTAGCAATATATATGAATAAATTCTTGTCAAATGTGAGCAAATGGTCACAGTGTGGAGACATGCTTTGAGTTTGTAGGTGTGCCACTCGGTGCAAAGGTTCTCCTTTAAAACAAGACCTTATTAGCTGTTACACAGGCCACTCTGATTCCAGGGCCCTCCAGGGGTTATTTAAGGTCCTAGTCATAACCAAGATATCTAATTAAAAGCTAAAAAGCTACTAGTCTTGTACCTTTAGCTGAGAGGCGGAACTGTGCTCAAGTCATCCTATTTCTGTAATGACTGGGATAATATACAAAAGAGGGAGAGAGGTTGTTGTACAGGGCTATGGATTATCAAATGATGACTTATGTGACGATGTGAAAAGGCTAATGAATCTATTTGCACTTAGAGCGTAGATGAGAAGAGTCAGCAATAAGCAGAGCTGACACTGTTCATCCATCTTATTATGAAACAGTCCGCACAGGGTCTGGAATGAAACAAATCTCTAAATAGAAAACAGCTTCAAATATGGATTTAGATTATCAGGATACGATTTATTTATTCTTTATTTCGTTTTATTAAAACCACCCACTGCCGGAGACAAACCAAGGTGTACTTCAGGCACTAAAAATATCTATGAGGAATCTGGGGCAAATTCATTTACATACCACACTTTCTTTTTATAAATCCACCGTTGGCCTCACTGACTACTGATAAAAGCTTTGAATGCAGCTTCAGTTCTGCAGCTTGTGGAAAACACTGTGATGGGCACTTGAAACAATGTGCAAGTCACCAGCATCAAACTGTCATTTAGCACATTTAACAATAGGCTGTCAGTGCAATCCTAACCCAATTACATGGCTTGGCTCTTTGTTTTTCACTCTTTTTCTTCCCCCTTTTAGATTGCCATAGCTCTCTGTGGTCAAATAAAGCTGTCGAAAACATGCAAGACAATTTTCTCAAAACTCTGCAATTACAGGAGGAGAACGGTGAAAACGGCAGCTCATGGAAAAGGAATGCTATTTGCATGGTTTTATCTTTTTGAATTGCAGTATATGATGTGGCTGGGGCTGCATCAAAAAAAAATCTTCCATTTATGCAGTTACCATTTCTGTCATCAGTCCTCGCTCGCAGCCTTCTACTTTCCCAGCAGGCTGCACGTGAGCTGTAGAGGTCGTCCTCAAAGACACCACTTCAAAATAAACAACTGGTCATGCAGCCATCTTATCTCTGCAACGCTCCTTTTTCACATTTTACTAAACGGATCATGCATTCTGAAAAAATAATTAAGCTGCAATTGCTTTCCAACATCTATATTTTCTGTAAAGTCACACTTTTCTAAGTGTGCATACTACAAACAGCCTAAAACAAACAAAGGTAGCTGACATCAAGTCGTCTAACGCCATTTTAAGTTAAAGAGTGATATAAACATTCAGAATCGCTGCATGTCACATTACCAGTATCTGAGACCAAAACAAATGGGCATGTCAGACACAGTTTACTTTTATTTACAATAGATGGTTGTATCTATAAGAGCCAACAAAAATCCATTTAAAAAAATCAGCCATGCTAGCATTGTGAAGTAGAATTAATGGCTGACTTCATATTCTTCAAAGTATGCTGTTACTGTACTGTATCTTTACACAGCAGATAGCGGTTTGCTGCAATAGTAATGCTATATTAATGTTCAAAATCTTGCATATAGAACCTTAACCCATCAGCTTTGCAAACAAACTAATAGTTACCTGCAGCTGCTGTCCATGTCATACAGGTTGTACTACTATAATATTCAAATTTAATGTAATGTCTCTGTAAAGGAAATTCAGAGACTGGTTTCAAAACACACATATTAGAAAATAACTGATAACATGTTAAAGGACTGTAAACTATTTGGTACCAAACCATGGATTAGATCTTCTATCCAGTGGTTCTGAATGTTGCATAAGGAACCTTTAATTTAAACAAATATAAGTGTGTGTTTCGTGTCTCATTACTACGACAACATACGTTATACTCAACCCAACCTTAGCTTATATCCATTCAGAAAGGCCACAATTTACATTGTGCATCATATGCAGCTGTCTTTTATTGATTTTTAATTTTTCTTAAATCAATAAGGTCAAAATCATCAATAAATCTCACACCAATGGATTCTCTGATTGCCAGACATTTTACAAAAAAAGGGAACGAAATGAACGGTCAAATCTTGATACTGGACAGCCGCATCTGATTCAACTGACAAAATTCTGATCCGTGTCCTAATTTTGTCAGATGATTCTGTAGTTATTTAAAAAATGTAAGAATTAAAAAAAAAAAAAAAAGGATTTCAGCAGCACCTTTGGAAAGACTACTGGGTAACATGTAGCTTATAAGGGCTACGATTGAATGAAATCACTATTTTATACTCATTTGGTTATGTTACAATAAAAACAGAAAATGTTTCAATTAGAGTAACAATTGTGAATTCAGCCACATTAAAGTACGATACATGTAATCACAGAAAGCAGCAAATGTCTGAATGGTGGTGTACTAGGCTGACATTTGGCATAGTAACCGGATATTTGAAGACTTGGCAGGGGTGGGTGGCAGTGAATATGTGACTTCCTGTCATCCTCAACTTTCACCACAACGATGCATTTTAAAAATTCATGTAACTGATGTCATTTCTCTGTATTTATGATAATTTACCAAATTAATGCACCAATCACAAAATAATGATTTGGTTCACTGATCTGTCTGCCCAAGTCCTCACCAGAAGTTGGCTGTGTTGCTATTTTGTTCCTTACTGAGACTGAACAGAGAGAGATGAAGAAGAGATTTAGCCATTGTCATGTTAAGGTGGTTCATTGTGGACATTCTTTTTCGCACATTTTCTAATTTTTATTTCAGAAAGTTTTATTAAGTGAAAAAATATGAAAGAATCTGCAGAAGTTTTCACCTAACTTATAAGCGCTAACATTAATCAACTAGCTAGTTAGAGCTGTTAAAATTTGCCAGTAAAACTGACGGTCGCTGAATAAAAATAAAGAGCTAAGACAAGCTTTAAAAGCAATTCGCTGCTAAGCTCGTCTCGTCTCCGACTGTTGGAGCTTGTGTTTAAAGAATAAGGATAAACAGTGATTTAATCTCCAGGCATGCAGTCCTACGTTTACGGCTCAGGAGTTACACGAAAGAGATCCTCACATGATGCTGTGATGCAATATTTCTGTCAGTTTACTGTTTGTACTTGATTACGATATCTGTTAGTGCTATATAGCTAAGACAGCTAATGTGAGCTCATGTATAGATGTGTCAGTGGTTCCAGTGAGTTTGTGTTGCTTTGGTCCAAGCTGTCAGGGCATTTGTCCTAATTTGGAAGGTCCTGTCTTTGAATTTCAAAAATGAAACTTCAACTGCATATGTGCAGTCGTGGAGTGAAAAGTTTTACAAGTAAACCAGATGAGAGCAAAACCAATACAATGTCAAAAAAATGCTATTTGTTCAAATCAGTTTTTAAGTAGATTAAGTAAACACTATTTTCAATAGAAAAACTTTTTCAGACTAGATAATTGGCAATTTTAATAATGTCCCTTTCTTTATTTTAAATATCTACCATGAATGCATTTTAAGTTGCTTTTTGAAACACACTAATTGATTATATTTGCAATCCAACATTGACAAAACTCCCTAAGTCTTTTAGTGACAAATTACAGCCCAAGTTCAACATTACTAAAAAAAACAAAAAGGACTTTGTTCAGAGTCTCTCCACAGGAAGTGTTGTGGAAAAGAGCTGATAGTAATGGCAGTCATAGTAAGTGTACAATATGCACCCTCGGAGGTAACCGAAAGCAAAGGTATCCATCCATCCAACCATCCATCCATCCATCCATCCATCCATCCATCCATCCATCCATCCATCCATCCATCCATCCATCCATCCATCCAATCTAAAAAAGGAAGTCAAACTTTTCAAGGTGCCATGAAATTAGGCTTAGCAATAGTTTTAAAACCAATATGTTCTACAGTCAGTCGTTTCTCTTTAGAAGGCTGGACAGAGAGCAAAAGGAAGGAACCTTGCTGATACAGATAGAAAGACTGAGAGTAAATGAATAGTCAGAGAAATGTGCAATTGGAAAAAGGGAACTGCACTTGGACTAGCATGTGAAAACCAGATTGCCATGGGAACCAGGCATAAAGTAAGAAAACCCATGGCAGAGGGACAGAAAAAGATAAAGGTCAAAATAGATCAGAAAAAAAAATAGATCGGAGAGGCATGGATAGAAAGAAGACAGGTAAAAACAAAAGATGTCAGGAAAAGGATGTAGTCAGAATAAGGAGAAATGTGTGTTTTGCAGAGGATAAAAAAGATCTCCTTCTAGAAAATCTGGAAATGTGGTAGGAAAAAAAACAAGTGGTGTAAGTGAAGACCAGAGTAAGAGGACAGAGGAAGCGCTGTAAGGGAACAGGTGTGTCCTCTAACCCCTTATCTCTGGCTAAAGGCAATGCTTTGACAGGTCTACTGACGCCCTGCTACTAGCACAGATGGTGCAGTCTTATAAAAGCCACAAAAACACCTACGTGACTGAGACAGCTTTAGCTTTTTCTTCCTACTTAACAATGACATGCAGTAAACTTAATCGTATACTTGATCAAATATGCCACCTGTGGTTTTACTGCTCCAGGAAACTTGTTAGAAATGGTCATCCAGAGAGTTGTACTGACCGCCTGTTTGGTTTTGGAGATGTCCTCCATCTGAACATGCAGGTCTTCAATCTCCACCTCCATGGACTTGCGAGCCTTAACTGCAGCTGCGCAGGTGAATTCAGACTCCTCCAGCTGGAGCAGACACAAACATGAAGGAAAACACATCAGCCTAGAGGGACTTCACACCAAATTCACTTTTTTTTTTTCCTTTTCTTTTTTTTTTTTTTTTTTAAATAAAGGTCCTTTTGTTGTTGTATTCTGGTATTGGTCCATAGTGACGGATGCAACAATGTTTTTATTAGTAGAAAATGTCTATTTCAGACCTGAGGGTTTCAGACTGTGAGGTCCCCCTTGGTAGGCACTGAATAACTTGGGGGGGCCGCACAGATGTGAACTGTAAGCCTCACCTACACTGAAATTTTTACACTCTGAGTCTTAGCTTAGCCAAACCAGGAGCTGTATTCACAAAGGATTTTATCTGATAAATGGCTTCATTTTAAGACTTCCTTACTGTCCAGGTTTTCAAATATCTCCTATCTAAGTATCTCCTTTTTGTTTGTCACATGCACACACACACCAGCCATGGGTGCAATTTGGTTGGTCTTAGCCAAGGCCACCTCAGTATGTGGAGGGGTTGGGAATTGAATGCTAGCCCTGCAATTAGTGGACACAGGAACTCTGAGAAACTGATATCGCAAAACTTCAGCAGGTAAAACCAAAGCTTTTCAAATCAAAGCATTTCACTCCATGCAACAATGTTACATACCATGACAGGAAAGTGAAAAGCATTTATTTGTAATCTGCTTGGCCTGAGACTTTTACCATTTAATTTGTTGGGCTTTTGTGATGTTACTCCACAATGTCCATACTTCAAAAAAAGCGCTTAGTGATGGGACAGTAAAAGTCATAAGAAATTACAACATGTTAGGTAAGTAAGTAGATCACCTACAGAAACAAAATCGTACTCGGTGCTTGTAAAGGCTTTGTGTGTGTCTAGCTTAGCCTTCCACAACACTACAGACTGTACCTTTTCTTTGTAACTGGCAGAGTCATTGATACATGATGCTGCTTTTGTAGTTTTACCTGGTTTTTGAGCTGGGCGATCTCTCTCTTGCTGGGTGCGTTGTTCTTTATGTGGTCCAACATGATCTGGGCATCAGCCAACAGAGCCTTGGTTCTCTTCAGGTCCTTCCTCAAGCGTTTCTCTGTCTCAATGTCACCACCTCTCACCTGAGAAACAGATACAGTGAAAACTGGTGACTCATCTGAGGCCACAGGACTGTTAATGGACTCAATAGATTTTATTAGTTTTGAAGGAGAAATCACATAAATGTTCGAGTTAAATTTACACATAGATTAAAGAGGTTGAAACCGTATTAAAAGTAAATTATTATATTTCAGTCAACTAATCATTTAAATTAAAGGTAATAATAATATAATTACACCTTTAACAGCATCAGAAAACATTCATATCTTAGACAAATTAACATTGAGGTCAACATGTGAAATTTTTATTTTATTAATTAAAAAATAATAAATCCATTTTCAAAATTCCTTCCCATTTTTATTTTCCATCAATCACTCCTTTCAGCTCCAAGAAAGATATTTTGAATATTCAGGAGAAGGTTGGGTGACCTTTTCTACTCACATATCAGCTGTTTAAGAATTGAAAAAGTGCATTTTGTTGATAATGTCTATAGGATTAAAAAGCCCTTAATGGTGGATTATGTCACAACAAGAAACTCCACTGTGTGAGCAATGAATATACTGTAGGCTTTTGTCACTGAAGACGCCTATTTATATTGATTTACTTGGACTTCTTTGGCTGCAGCACACCACACTCCTCCTCTATTCCTTTACTGTCAGAGTTGGGCATCAGTCTGGACTATCTGTGTCTGTGCCTCACTAATTGCAGTCAGCAAAGCCAGATAAATATTTGATTCAGTCAGAATAAATGACCCACTTAAATCATATAAACCCCCACATCTCCACCCACACAACCCAACAGCAGTAGTGCTGTATTAGAACAAATGGCATTGCTAACATTCTGTTACTATTCAACTGAGCACATGTAAAATGGCATTTGCTGTGAATCCACAGAGGAAACTTAGAAATACACGAGTTAAGCTCAAGTTCTTCCAGAGTAGAATGTCTGTTGTGCTATTACACACAGATTTTTTTAAAGGTTACAATTTTCAATCTGGGGTGACTGCATTCACCTCAGGTTTTACTAGCTGGTCCCAAGCTTAAAAAAAAAAAAAAATCACACAAGTGCTTTTTTAGAAGTTGTGTCTAAGATCAGTTCCCTTGCACTTTGTACAGTGTAATTACCTTGTCCTGTGCTGACAAAAGCTTTGACTCCAGCTCTCTCTTCTCTTTCAGCACCTTCTGCTTCTCATCATACTCTTCTTCGAGCTGGACTTCCATCTGCTTCAGCTACACACACACACACACACACACACACACAAACAAACAGAAATAAATTAATTCATAGTTCTATCTGACCTCTTATTGACTTGAACAAGTCAGGAAAGTCACCTGGAGCCATTTCAAAACAGCTACAGATCCCCAAATCATCTGTGCAAACCATTGCTTTTAAGTATAAAGTGCACGGTACAGTTATGTCACTGCCACGATCAGGAAGAAAAAATAAACTACTACATGCTGCTGAGAGACAAGTAAGAATAACCAAAAAGTAGGTCTGCAATGAATTAGAAGCTGCCACAACACTTGTGTCAGTGTCCACGGTCAGATATGTTTTACGTTGCAATGGGCTGAGAGGCTTCCATGCAAAAAGGAAGCCCCTCTTTAGAAGCAGCATCTTTAGACTTGACTGAAGTTTGCTGCGGATCACATGGACCAAGAAAAGGCCTTCTGGAGGAAAGTTCTGCAGTTGGACAGAACTCAAATTTAGCCTTTTTGTCCACAATGACCAGAAATATGTTCGAGGGGGAAAAAGTGAGGCCTTTACCCCAAGAACACCAAATCTGCCATCAAGCATGGTGGTGGTAGTTTTATGTTGTGGGGCTGTTTTGCTGACAGTGGAACTGCTGTTTTGATGAACCAAAACACATCAAAAAGTGGTATGAAATGTTTAAATGAGGCTAAAAATAAGGTTATAGACTGGCCTCAAGAACCTATGGACTGTGAAGAAAAAAGAAGACTGTGTCAGAAAGCTAGTAGAGGTGAGAATGGCCTATAACAACCTTATGAAAGAATCAAAATTTCTGATTGTTTCTTCTTTTTTTTTTGGGTGACAAAGATGTATGTTTCAAAGATTCCATCATAGAAAAGTAGGAGTTATAGGAGTCACTGACAACTCAAGACTGCTATGATATACATGGTCTCTACAAGTGTATTCAAACTTTTGTTCACAACTGTAGTGCTAATTCCAATTTAAGTCATCTCAGGGAAGTTTACATAGTAAGGTCAAAACCTCTCTACTTGCAGCAAGAAAACTCCCTGAGCAGCATTTGGCAAAAAATAGAGATGAAAAACTCCCTTTTAACAGGAAGAACCCGGTTTAAGAGTCAGACTCAGGGAGGGCAGACACCTGTCTTGATCAATTGGGGTGAGGAGAGAGGGAAAAGATGAGCAGAACATTTGTATTTACATTCAAGTCTACAGCCCTCTGAAACATTACCAGTACACTAGGTTCAAGCTTTGTGAGGCTCTTGTATTGCAGATGTTTAGGAAGTAAGATTTCCAATAGTTGCTATCTTAATTCAACGTGTTTGCATGCTCAGATTTACTTACACTAATAATAAAGTACAGCACAGCCAGGGCTGGAGAGAATATCAATTGTCTTTTAGGCATCTAAAACAATTGTTATGACAGACACTCACGTTCCCCATAGGATGAACTATAACAATATCTAGACCAGATTTTGTGCCAATGCATCCAGCAGATGCTAAGATACTTGACAGGGTTATTGACCTGCAAGTTGTTGGTGTCACTAGTAAAAGTCATCATCAAAGTCTGGAGGATTCATCCTCTGGAAAACATGAATGACTGTATCAAACGTCACAAAAATGAATTTAATTGTTGTGACGATATTTCAGGGGTGGGCCTGACTGTGACTTTCCCAGAGTCATGCTGCTTGCATGTCTAAAATCTGTAATTTGTTGTGAGAGTTCAGCTAGAAGAGAGGTGTAATGTCATTAAAACTTAAAGGTTTTATCTCCTTTGAAGCGTCAGCGTTAAGCAAGCCTCCTACCAATAGGATAAACAGCTGTCTTGTGTGGAGTGTTGACAAGGGAAAGTGTTTAGACTTTAAGCAGTATTAATGGGCTCAGTCTATTTCATTCTGATCTTCAAATGTACAGGTTGGAAATACTGGTCTGATACTTGTGGTAAAATCAGGGGACCATGAACACAAAGTTTTTTTTTTTTTGTCTGAACACTGGCAATAGGAAGGTATAATAATCTTTTGTTATTTTCTGGATGGTCAGTATCGGGGAAAATATGCTCAATGGGGTATTGAAGCTTGAGAAATAACAGGACAAGAACGACACATTGACTACTTAACAAATAGTGAACCAATTGATAACCTTTCCTAAGTAGACTGTACTTTCTTACATTTCAGATGCATAAAGATAAGCAAACCGTTTCATAAAAGGTTATACATACAATAGCTTTATGCTGTTTCCTTCATTTATCTGTTTATATATACTACAAAATTCATAATAAAAGAACATGTCGCTATATAAATGCCACTGGAAGACAGCGTGAAAACAGTGCTCCCATATTGTGTAAGTGTAGTAAAAGCTAATTATGCGTGTGCTAACGTGGGCTCGCCTGGTAAAGGGCAGAGACAGGGCAGTCAGCACCAGCAAAGCAAAACAAATACAAAACAGCATTAAGTGCAGTAATAGCAATAAAACTAACGATGCACCCGCATTTCACTCCCCGGGCCACATACACATATATCAACATGCTCCTCTACTGCATCTCAGCCATGTTTGTGTCATGTAGCAGTGAAGCCAACCAACAGAGCCTTTATCTTCACATTAACTTAAAAGCAAAATAACTTACATGATCTGACAAATGTCTTAATAAATCCTGTGTATACTTATATATTAATTTAAGCAATAAAAAAAATAACAACACTAAAAGGGTGAGCTATTAAACCTACAAATTATGAAAATGTCATGCAAAAAGCTGATATGGTGTTCATGAGTTAATTAGGGTCTTTCACTAATTAAGGCCGGGATTAGTACAACATGTGTTTTCACAGCATTGATTCACCCATCCAACGTAACATTTCACATGCCTTATGAACCATTCTGAGGCTCTGTTTTATTACAAATGCAGCATGCCCAACATTATATACGTGTCAAAATAAAGGCCTATCAGCAAAAATGAGCCTTTATGTGACCTTTAAGCTGGAGGAAAGCTTTTAATGTGTAATATTTATGCAGACACTGACAGTAGCACGTCAAATTACCGACTCATACATTTCTGCTGTGACTTAGCTAAAGCCCATAACAGCGTTGTGTTCTGTTGGTCAACATCATGAACACAATATGAATGTTGTCAAATGAGGCAAGACGGTAAAAAAATGTGCTAACCTGTTTGGTGGGATACACTACATGAATTGAACAGTCTTAAAATATGAACAATGAATCTCCTGACCTTCTTGTTGCAGGACTGTCTGATCTCCTCCACCTCGTCATCTTTGCTCTCGATCTCCTTGGAATGGGTTTGACGCAAACGCTCCATCTCCATCTCCAGACGCAGCTTGGCCTGACATAAACAAGCACATCCCACATTATACACTCTCAGCCGACTGTTGCTTAAAAGAACACTGTGCTCATTTTCAAGCAAATTTTTATATGTTATTCATCGTTGTAAATATATCTATAGCAGCGGCCAATAAACTCTGTTATCTACTTATCGTGGAAGAACGACAGGGAGTTAGCATCACCACATCTTAGACTGCTGCTGGAGCTGAGAACTGATTTTTTTTATATAGTCTGTAACCCACAAACTATATGATCAGCAGTAAATGTTTTGACTATCTGAACCCTTATCCAAGACTGTGCTGATGCACTACGACCCCTCACACCTGGTTCAGTGCATATGTTAGTGTGAAAGTATGCAGGCCAGACTTATGTCGTGTTGAAAGTGATACAGAAATGTTACAAGATCTGACCTTCGTAGTAAAATTGCTTTTGTGACTCCTAAGTGACCAGAGTGCCGATTCAGACATGAAGCCAATACGCTCAGATGCTGATTGCAGATGTGTTTGGTTATGCAGCAAAGTTAGTTTGCAAAGTAGTATGGATCAGACTCACTGTAGCTGTTTTCTAACTAGCAAAATATGACAATCCCAGAAAGACAAAACTAGCAATCAGCTGGTGAACATATTGGAGTTTGCAGCAGCTAAAGAGCCAATTATTTTTTTCAAGAGTGGTAGAAACCATGATGATGAGACTAGGTCTAATCTAGCCTGTTAGTCAGAAGAGAGTCGATCACTGGTGTAACCAAGTAGTTTTAATTACAGTAAAATGTGGCACTGGCTGTCACCAATGACAACAGCAGCAGTAGCAGGTTGAGGTGGACATCACACTGGGGAGTCCAATACAGAAAAGATCAGTTTGTGTTTGGTTATATTTTAGCTGTTACTGGTCTGCCAAATTTTGTGGGGAACAGCTGCCAAAACCGCAGCTAAAGCAGGTTGAATGCCGAACTTAAATTAATTCAAACGAATGTTAATGCTGCCTGCTGGACACAAAAAGAAACAACTCTAATGTAACTGACATGTGACCCCACAACAATGCCTTGTCTGCCAGTGGACTTTTTGGCTTCTTCTGCCCCCAGTGGCCAAAAAACAAATTCAGCTTTAATGGGAGCACTGTGCTTGTCTGTACCTGTTCCAACATCTGGATGGTGCCAGCCTGTTCATCCAGCTCCTCCTCCTGGTCCTTCACCTTGGCCTCCATGTCCCGAAGCTGCTTTCTTACCTGAAAAAAAAGAAGAATTTGATAAAATAGAGAATATTAACAGGTAGATATCAATTTCATATTTTACTATGAGTGGGTACTTGTATTACAAACTGCATGTACTCTTGACTGAGTACATTGTCAACAGAAGTGCTGTAGCACTGAAATAATGCGTGCTGTAAATTCACTTCAAAGAGCTTCATACCAAAAATGTACAAGCAATAAAAAACAAACAAACACGTGTACACCCAAAAAAGAATAATTAAAGACAAACAAAGAAAGAAGACCTTGGCCAGCGATGCCTCATCCTTGGATTCCTGGGAGTTGAGGTCCAGCAGCTCAGCCTCCAGCTGGTCCACCTTCAGGTTGACTGCACACACCTCCAGGTCTTTATCCTATGAGACAAAAGGTCACAGTCAGAACAGAGAGCAGGGCACATCAGGGAATTACTATGTGAACATGAAAGAGAAACTGACACACTCACAGGTGATGAGGGAAGGTTGAGCAAATATTTATTCAGCTCAGCAGGTAGCCACAAGGTGTTGCACACACAGTAAAGTATTTCTACAACGTGGGTTCATGATTAGCAGACACGCACAGTGTAGACGTGCAGACCTTATATATTATGAATGTAATCCTCTTTTGACATCAGTGTTGTATTTTTCATTTCATCTGTTTTATCTGAGACTACTCTTTTTGACAGACTGAATATTTTTTTAAAAAGGTATAGCTCTTTTGTACGGTCTATACCTTACCGTGATGAGCACTGTGTGATGACATATGTTGTAAACTGAGCTCTACAAAAAAAATTAGGTTGAATTGAATTGAAAAAAAATCTGTATTTTGGGTACCATTTAGTTTTTCTTGGAAAAGTCAAATGTCAGTCACATGCTAGTGGACAGATTTTTGACGTTCAGAGATACTGATATTGTTTTTATCCTAATATAGTCCTTGACAGTAGTGTTGTTACAGTTGTTATTTCAGAGTGACAAGTGCACAAGCATAATGTCAAAACACTTCTCTTGTTTCCATGGCATTACTAGTCCATGTATCCTGCTGAATAGATAATAAACAATAATGCCTAGATACATAGGTAAATACAGTGGAGCAGAATGTAGCTGCAAACAGATCCTACAATATCTAAAATAAGCAAATAAATACTGTAAGGGAAATTAATTAACCATTTTAAAGATGAAGGACAAATGCTTTTCAAGAAACCTTTCCAGTTGTTTTTTGTCCTGGTAGAGTCTACAGAGCCTTAATTTCATCCTGTCTGTATGCTTCTGAATCATGTTGTTTCAAAATGTTATTGTACATTACAATAGTGTAGTAGTAAAATGTACGATAAGAGATGCAAACTGCACCTTCAGAAGTAATTTTATACTGCGGTTGTTAGCATATTGCTTCTAGGGTCATACAGAGAGTCATTTAACTAGGGATTCAGGCAGCTGATCAAATTTTTGCCTGGCATCACTTTTGTCACTCGTATCAGACATGAAAAGAACTTCTGGAACAATAAATTGACACCAGAGAGGAGAATCCAATCACGAGCAGGCACTGGAAAGCTTAGGGTTGCTATGTGGCTTTGGTCCATACTACATACTTGTCATTATACAAACATAAAAATAAAGAAACATTGGTGAAGAAAAAAACTCACCTAAGTTATATATGTATGCCATTTTATTCAAGATTAAGTAAAGAAACAAAATATCCCTATGAATGACTTATGGAAGTGTAATAAGTCCTGAAATCAATAAATATGAAGAACTATATTTATATATGCATGTGTATTTATAAATACACATAAAAAAGCATACATATAAATAGGCTTGTACTCTAGGAAGGACATTTTTGATTTTAATTTATTTAATGATTTATTTAATAGCCATAAATAATTATGTTGTGGGAACATTTATGTATGGATTTATTTATTCAATAAATTAAATATCATTCCACAATTGTGTGACACAGTCTGGACCACAGATACACACATGGACTACATGAAAACCATGAAAAACATTTGCAGCTTCATTTAAGAGTGGTGCTTAGAAGATACACAACAAATTCCTGACAAAACTGCAAACGCTTTAAAATGTCATGTAAATAATCTTAAAAGAGTGGTGACGTTTGGTATTATATTGTTTATTATGGCAGATTCCGATGCATTTTGTTACGTGAACTACACAAACAACTGAGCATTGTTTAAGCACCACAGACTTTCTGAGTATCGTTGCTGACCATGTCCATCCATTTATGACCACTGTATCATGTTCTGATTCCTACTTCCAGCAGGATAATGCATCATGTTGCAAATATGTCAGTCAGTTCTCTGTCCTCCGGTGGCCTCCACAGTCACCAGATCTCAACCTAATAGAGCACCTTTGGTATGTGGTGGAACGGGAGATTCACATCATGGAGAAGACTTTTTTACTATTTTTTTTGTTGAGTCTTTTAATTTCACTCAGTTGTTGACTGGCTCAACATAAGAAAATAGACATAAACTAGAACTGGTACTGTTATATGGCCTACGTGTCATTACCAGTAAAATCTGTGATATATGTGTATGAGAACACCTGTCGGTTATATTCACTGCTACAATCTCTTGTTCCATCGTTAAAGCTTCTGCTCCTGGATGTTGTTTACGTGTGATTAACCCCGAGACCACACTGCAGTTTTCTACTCTTTTAAAGACGTGTTACGATCTGAGTGCATTTTTCTAATTCACCTGCACCAACATCTTGATCTCTGTTGCTCAACTCAGAACTAAACGGACAAAACCAAGATCAGAGCCCTGGTTGAACGACACCACCCATGCTGTCATAAGTGAATGTAGACATTGCATTGCAGCCAAAAACTCCCACAGGTCTCTTTAATTCAAGTTTTAACTCCTGTGATACAGCTTGTATTACAACAACACCTACACTTTGTTGATAGGATCTCTGCTCTTAGGTCTTTAGCTGGTCACAGTGCTATGGACCCTTCTGTTCCCCCAGTGTGCTCAGCTGTCTTTGATCAGATTGAACCTGTGTCACTCAACCTATTACTAGAGGTGGTTTAGCATTTACGGCCCACAAATTGTCCTTTAGACATTGTTCCCTCTAGACAACTTAAAAGTGCTTTAAAACAGTGCTGGGTCAAGCACTCTTACACTGGTGAATACATCTCTCACATCAGGTCATGTCGCGGTTGCCTATAAACATGCTGTATTGTTACTTCATGTAAGAAAGAACAACATGGACCCTTCACTCCTCTCTAACTTCAGGCCAATTTGCAAGTAACCTTTCCTGTCCAAAATGTTGGAGAAATTGTTTTCATCAGCTACAAACCTTTCTAGAAAACCATGACATCTATGAAGAGTTTCAGTCTGATTTTAAATGTCGTCCCAGCACAGAAACAGCTCTTTCACAAGTGTTTAACAACCTACTTTTAACATTTGATTGAGGAAAATCTGAAATTCTAGTGTTTCTGGACTTGACTGCTGTTTTTGACACCGTGGATCATGTTTTGCTGTTATTGCGCCTTAAAGAATGTGTGGCCATCAAAGGAACTGCCATGAAGTGATTTAGGTCATATCTCACAGATATGAGTTTCTCAGTTACTCAGGTGAATGTTGGTCACTTGTAGCTCCTCATATTTGTGGGGTCCCCTAGGGATTCATTTTAGGTCCCATCTTTGTCTCATTTGTCTTTAAGAAACACCACATTTCTGTCCATTGTTTTGCAGATGGTATTCAGATCTATCTGCCCATGAAAAGCAAAAGCAAAAGTAAAACCTCAGTGTGCCTTGATGGACTGCTTAAATCACGGTAAAACATGTGGATGGATCACAACTTCCTTAACCGTGACAAAAACAAAACAGAATATTTAGTTTGGTCGTCCAGACCTTTTAGGTCATGCTGATGGTACTCTTGGTCCTTTGGGCTTTATATAATAAATCTTTTGTTAGTAACATCAGTTTAATCTTTGACAGCGCCTTCAGATTTGACAGACAGATCAGCTCAGTGGTTAAAACCAGCTTTTGTTTATTTGAGACTTTTAGGCAAAGTAAAGCCCTATCTCTGTCTCGGGATTGATTTTAGAATTTTATCATTTGTCTTTAAAGTTTTGAAAGAGTAGGTGCCACCTTACTGAGCAGAACTCTTGCGTCTTCTTACCCCAGCTAGAGCACAGAGGTCGACCAACCAAGTGCTCCTAGATGTTACGATATCCAGGCTCAAAAACAGGCTTTTAGAGTCGCTGGAACAATTTACCCTTCTATTTTAAAACTGCTCAGGCTTTAAAAACTTTTAAATCACTACTTAAGACGCACCTCTTTTTATTTCCGTTGGATTCAAGTAGAGCTTGATAACCTGACTTTATGTGATAATACAATTCTTCATTGATAAATTATTAGTACATTATTATGTTACTGCCTGGTATGTATTTCTTTATTATTATTTTATCAATTTCTTTTTGTTGTGTCTTTAATTTATTGTGTTTTCTTATTTTATTTTACCACCTGTACAACACTTTGGTTTAACTAATGTTGCTTTTAAATGTGCTTTTAAAATAAATTTGACTTTGATTTTACTTTGCTATACTAAAAGCAATGAGTTGCATATTTGTTTAACCAAGGTTAAATATTTAGAATTTACAGTGTACAACCTTGTATCTATACAAATAAATATTAAATACATTTAGATGGGAATATTTAAATAACAAAAAAAAAAATCCTATCAAAGTTATGTGACACAGTGTGGAGCACACAGACACACACCTCCAGCTGCTGTCGGAGACTGAAGGTCTCTCCAGTCAGCATGTCTTTCTCTCGGGCCAGTTTCTCCCTCAGGTTCTTCTCCCTCTGCACCTCCTCCTGGGCTGCACTCAGCTCACTGTCAAACCTGCGGGCAAACACACAACAACACACAGATTTTCACACACTACCCCAATTAAAGCATCTACACTACTCTGAAGACATCTGCAAAGCAAAATTCATTGTGGTAAAGATCATGAAAAATCGAACTATTTAAAATGTGCTGAGCTGGTCACGAAGAAGATGCTACATATTACCTCTGTTTTATCTACAGCATGCAAATTCAGCAACACCTTTGCAGCTACTGAGCACACCTCTTGTGTCTCTCTCACACACACACATACACACACACACACACACACACACACACCATACTCAGTTTAGCAGCAGTACAAATGAGCTTGAGACTCGTCTGCTCCCTCTGCACAGCATGATGCCATAAACAATCTGGAGCACAATGTCTTTTTTTTTTTACAGCTATTATTGTTACTACAGCAACATCACTGGACCCTACATAGTCTGTGGGAACCTGGCAGATTACAGTACAATAGCTGTCACATGTATGTACAGACAAACGTGATTTTGTGTGTTTGCACTGACTTCCTCTGCTTCTTTTCCAGGTCGTGGTTGCGACTTTGTTGACCCTCCAAGTGAAGTTTAGTGTCCTGCAGTTCAGACGTCAGCCGTTGTGTTTTCTTCTTCAGCTGCTGGATGTTTCGCTGGGATTCCTCGTTGTCAGCCTGCAGGTCGGTTATCTGCACAAAAAACACATGTACACAATAAATCAGAAAACTGTTTGCCTTGATGCAGCTTTACATAATATTGCCAATATGTTAACCAGCTTCATGAGGTGGTCACGTGAAACGGTTTTGTAGAAAGTTAACTTATGGACTAACTGGGCCTCATAATGAAAAAAACACTTGTTGGGATGCAGCAAACAGCCCTATTCAACAACTACAGTAATTCATGTTATGCCATGAACCAGTCAACTAAGTGCAAAGAAACAACAGTCCATCATTGTTTAAGGACAACTACACATTTTCAAGTGAAGTCGCGAAAACTATCAGAGGCTGTGATGGCACCATTTTTTTTTTTTTTTTTACTCACTACTCTATCCTATAGAGCAGCGGTCCCCAACCACCGGGCCGTGGACCGGTACTGGGCCGTGGGTCATTTGGTACTGGGCCGCACAGATAGAATAAAAACATTTTATTGGTTTATTTTTATTTCCAGCGGAGTCTGCAGGGTGTTTTATTTTGAAACATGACTAGCTCGTCTTCCCATCACTTCCGTTTGTGCTCGTTTCCTGCACATGACTGTCAGTTTTTATGCCCGGCTGCTAAACGAAGCCGTCAGTCAACAACAAACGTCTCAGGAGAGCTGCTTTGGAAAGTGGGAGAGACTTAATACTGAGACAGGAGAAAAAGTAAACATGTTAAGCAATAAAAATTAATTTTATTTATTTAGGAAACTTTTCAATAGAAAAAAAAAAACAATTATTATTTGTTATGTGCGTAATGACCGGTTCGTAGAAACATTTCTTGCTTAAAACCGGTCCGTGGTGCAAAAAAGGTTGAAGACCGCTGCTGTAGAGGGTCCCAGGGGGGCTGCACCTACGGCCAATCTGGAGTCACCAGTTACTCTAGCACGTATTTGGACTGTGTAAGGAGGCTGGAGCACCCGGTAAAAATACATGCAGGTACAGAGAGAACAAGCAAACTCTACTCAGAAGGGTTCTAGCCGACCTGGAGATTCAAACCCAGGTCCTTCTAGCTGAGAGGCTACAGTGCTAAACGCTGCACACTCTGCCGCCCTCAGATATATCAATAAAACCAAAAAGGTCCAAAAAACCTCATGGTGGCACAGCAGGAAATGTCACAAGGATTCATCATCGGAGGAATTTTGCAACAGTCCATCTGATAAATGTTGAGATATATCTGACTGAAAAAAAACGAGAACTTTGACCTAAATCCATAGTTGTTGAGATGTTTCATTCTGGACTGAAGAGGTGTGTTAAGAGCACGGCTAAAAACAACTACCAACAGTGACTGAAAGAATTGAACTAGAAGCAGCTCAGTTTTAAAATATCATCCCATGTACATACTGTACATTAACAGTGCTATCGAACCATTCAGATACTGTATCTGCTAAGGATCTGAACTCTCAGCTGCGAGAACTGATGATACTATTATCTTGATTATTGAATTTCATGTTTCTTACTTGCAAGAAAAGGGAAGAAGCCACAGCAAGCAAGGACTTCAGTTTAAAATGAAAGAATAAAGTCAACTTAGAATCACCTCCCTAAAATAATAATTAATAATTGAATAGATGAATAATAAATAATCTTTATAAACATATTTTTTGTCCTTTTACACTTTAATTAATTTGAATCCAGAGTGTTTAACATTCTTCAAATGATGTTTCCATGTCTGTATAAGGTGTGTATAAAAGCAAGAATATAATTTTCCGTCATTGTAATAAATAAATAAAAATGTAAGGAAGTGAGTAATTAAGTAAATACATAAATAAATAAAGTGTGGTAGTACTTAGAACAAGAGAATGAGTTTAATCAATTAGGTAAGAACTTTACATCATAACACAGACAACAAAAGTATGGAGCATTTGATTTCATTTAGTTTATAAATAGGTTGAATTAAAATTTATTGAAATAAAACTGGGTTCCCTCTGTGGTAGGTGTGCCTTTGTGTCCACTCACCCTTCTATCCAGCTGCCGTTTGTTCTGCTGCTCCACCTCCAGCTTGTCATCAAACTCCTGCTGCAGCCTTTTCTTGGTGAACTCAATCTCCCTGATGGCTCGTTCATACTTCAGCCTCCACTCTCCTCCTGTTACAGCAACATGGTCGCGGTCAGAGTTTTTACTTTATTAGATTTGCTGCATATTTCTTGAACATCAGTTTATCATAAAAATAACAGATACCAAAGATGTGTGCATGAAAAAAAATTGCAGGACACTATAAGAATTGAGAGTTAAAATGCTTCTGTGCTGCAGAGGTCAAAATCCCAAAAAAAGAACAGTGCAGTGGGAAGTTCCAACATTATGGCCTTTGATATCCTGTACCTATACCTGGAATCCAGACTTAAATTAGCCAGGAAAATCTGGATTAAAATAAAAATGTGGAAAGACAAGCAGTAAAGGTACTGAACAAGGATGCACTGCGGACTGGAATTGGCCCAAATCACCTGGCTATTGGGTCACCCCACACTAAAAGTTTTTATATTAGGTAAACATTTGCAGTGCTTTCACAGAAAAGCTACTGCAAGTGAAACTCAACACTTCTTGTGCTTTTTCATTTTTAGAGTCACTCCTATTTCTAACAGACTTTTAACTGGGAACACCAGCACGTAGAGTTGACTGTAACTGCTGCCTTACTTTTTTATACACACATCAGTTTTGTAGGTATGTATAAGTGCACTGGAAAATGAAATGAATAAGACAATGATTTTACCAATGCATTAACTCAGCTGTACAACAAGCACAAGCTTATTACTGTAATTACTGTATTAATTATTAGAGATCACCCACACACCTTTAAGGTATCTCTGTGAGGTGTAACTTATTTGTGTGGAATGTACTTAAAGTCTGACATGAAAACCCCTTCATGATAGTGCTGCAATATCATTTCAGATCTGCTATGGTACAAACCAGCAACACAGTTGCAACCTATGCAACATGAAGACACTTACTGAAATCAATTCTACATTCACAAAGCCTGTATGCCACACAAAGACAACTGGCAGCCTGCCTGCAGGGCGTCTGCAACTGAATCCTTACTTCATTTCTCACTTTGAACTGATCCATTTCTAATGTACTTCTTCACACGGTCTATTCTTGGCTTTTGTAAAAGCATCGATTGGACACCACCCCTGCAGTTCCTGCACCTCCACTGAACAACACCCACTGAGCTTTTCTCACAGTCTGGGAAGGAATTACTACTATTGTTACGTCTGTATGGAGGCATGTGAATGCACAGTTCATTCAAAGAGTTGACAAAAATAACAAAGACCACAATACAAGTCTGATGATATGAGAGTGTGAAGAAACTATCAGAGGTGTTCATTCAGCTCAGTGCACCTTCTGTTTACAGGCTCTAAACAAAACAAGAGTAAGCTTTTGGTGGCAAGAGACTAATTGCGACTACCAATCTTTTGTGTCAACAGAGTTTTGCTGTTTGGACTTGTGCCTGGGAAAAACTGAAACTTTACAATAGTTTGTGTTCCATTTGATTTTGTGGCAAAAAGGCTGAATTAGTAAACTGACCGAAAATATAGCAACAACTAACAGAGAGAAAATCTGAAACTTCCACCAAAAAACAAAACAAAAAAAAAACAACTAAAATATTTCAAATTAGTAAATATTTACTGAATGTTGTCATTGTGAAAGCTGCATATTACACACCACATGCACATTTTAATGACAAATATATAATAAAACCATGATTACATTGCAAGAAGGATGTGTTCAAACTGACAAAAGCACTGCATTAAAAAAAAAAAAAAGACAGCCTCTCATTCATATCTTTGAGACCACTGCACTGGCAAAGTAGGGACCCCAACAGGAGGGACTGTCAATGCGGCAACATAAGTGTAAAACAACAGCTGCTAACACAGTCGTACGAAACACAGCTACTTAGACTTATGTTGTTCCACCTTAGCAGCTTGATCTGGTGATGCCCACACAGCCCTGAAAGGACATCTAATCAGTCAAACACCTGCGTGGGTGTCGAGCAGCTTTAGCAGACTCCTGACAATTAGCATTTTTATGAGTGTGTTTTTAACCAGCATAACATAAACGTGTGGAATCTCAGCAGATTGGTAATTATTGCCGCGCTGAGGGAGGTTCTATTATTTTGCCAACATCAGGACTGTGTTTGGAAATGCGTCTGACCTGTGTCGTCATCGTCCATCTCGCCGTTGAGTTCAGAAGCCCTGATGAGTCGCGCCTCCATCACCTCCATCTCCATGCACTCCATCTGTTTCTTCATGCTGTCAAACTTGGCCTGGTGGATGAGAAGGAGAAGTTTCTATAGCAACATGAACACATCTGTCTCATTAGTTCTTTAAGTTGTCATGAGTTGGAGCCGAAACAAAAACACAAAAACAACTCTGAGACACACTGGATTAGAAAGTTTGCTTATTGTTGAGGTTAGATTGATACATCTCCTGCTGAGACAATAAATTAAGTTCACAGTTTAATTATGACTGGATGATTGCAGTCCAGGGCAAGAATGTTCAAAGTAGCTCTTCAGACTACTTGTAGTGATATTTGTGACCTTCAGTGTATAATTTTTGCAAAAACTTTCTGAAAACCTGAAAAAAAATGAACTCACAGCTTATTATGATACTTAATTTGTGCAGCTTTTGGTGGGTAAAATGAGACGCAAAGCTCCCGGGTAAACTCCAAAACCACCTTGTTTAGGTGAAAATGGAGAAGCATAGCCAAATTTCAGCTGCGCTTAAGTTTTGTCATATGTTTTTAAAGGGGACTCATTAAACTGTTAAAAAATGAATGTGTTTTGTGTTACCAGGGGGTGGGTTACCAATCTTTTCATTACCAAAAAAAGAAAAATAATTGTAATCCCCAAATTGCCATTATTTGCATACCCCTACAAAGTGAACCTTACTTCAGAATGTTCCTTTTAAATCCCAGCTTTACAAAGGCAAAGCTGAGATTTAAAAATAACATAAGTAGGTGAAGGAACAAGGACAATTTTGGGCATTGCAAGGCCTTATTTAGAAACTTAGCACAAAAAAACACTGCAGAAACTAATCCAAATACGTACACACATCTAGTCCATCTCAGTGCAACGTTCCCAACATGCAGTAAATACCCACATTGCCCCCTTGTGCCTCTCCCTCAAGCACACACTCCAGAAGAAATATCAATCCCACAATTTTATACGCCGAGCAATTTATGGGCAACTCCTCCCCATCGCGATCTGAGCAATCTATTTCAACATCCCCCCAATAAAAAAAAAATAATAATAAAATCAGACAATGGATAGAGAGAGCGAGGGGAGAGCAGGGGTGGAAAAATGGTGTGTGTGTGTGTGTGTGTGAGAATACAGATGTATAGCAGAGAATGACATGGAGACAGTGTGGATGTACAAATGACTCCATAATAAAAGTCCCTTTTGTAGGTTTAAGTGCAGCTTCATCTGATCTGGTGTTTGCCAGAATATGTTTTGAGGACATTTACGAATATAATCTTTACAACTGCAAGTGTGTTATATATCTTGCATGTCACATATACAGTCCACTCAAAGAGTTAATAGTTGCTGTCATCATTCTTGCAGTCAATAATGGCTAGCAAGTGATCCCTTCATTGAGCGACAATGATGGGGACAAAATCTGTTCAGTTGAAGAAAATGTGCTTGCTTTATGAGTGAATGACTACGGCAGCCAACAACTACTTCAACGTATATGACACAAAAATGTTACAATAAAAAAAGAACTGATACAATGCGCAGAATCCATCCTGTCTGAAATGAGCAGCATTCTCTATTTTCTTGTCATTTGAATGTTCACTTAGGTACAAACAAAACTCTGAACCGGTACAAATGTAATTCTGTTCATCATAATATCATCATGTGGCTGCCAATGTCCTCATTAAAGATGTTATTAATGTCATCTTTTGACAGCATGAACTATTTAGTAGTTTCTGGACATTTCTTCCTTCAGCAGTTGCCTTAGGGTCTCTGTGCAGGTTGCTGACCAGAACAAAGTCTGATTGCACCTAATAATATAAAATTGCTTATTGTGGGCCCCAATATTCTCTTGTCTATTATCAGAATTGTCACCTTACTGTAATAGCCTCTTAAATTAGCCACAGATTTAGAAAGATGTCTAACTTAGAGCAGGAGGTTCACAGTGCAGCTAATCTGATGACATGTGCGCAGCTGTATTGGAATTTTCTGATTGGCTACTACTGTCTGCTACACATCTGTTCTTTTGTCTCCTAAATGTCTGTAGTTACTGGAGATCTGGGATATTCTTTTTAACACTTTGACTGAAACTGGTAGCTTTACAAGGCATTTCAAAGCAATGCCTCTGCCAATGATCATATCTCACAGCGAGTCATAAACAGGTGGAATTATTCAGACTGAATTGAGCAACTGACAGTAGTCTGTGCAGTTCCAAAACTATTTTCAAAGAAAAAAAATGTCGTTTTAAGATACCAATACAAAGAGTTTCTCACAACCCTCATTATGTGACTTTGTGAACCTAATTTGGTGAAGAGCTCCAATGCTGTTTGTAGATGCAGAGACCCAAAGGAAGACTCACACATCATACTTGGCGGAAAATGCTGAATTGCTGTTGTTTAGGAAAAACGAAAAAAATGACAGAAATCTACTCATGTAGAAATAACATGCAATGTATTAAAAATCATACAAGAATCCGGGGCGCCGCTATAGCCTGGTTGAGCTGGCGTCTCATGTGCAGGGCTACAGTCCCAATGTGGAGGTCATGAGTTTGAGTCCCGCGCATGACCCTTTCCCACACATCCTCCCCCCATTCTTCTCCCCACTTTCCTGTCTCTCTCTCACTTCACTATCAAATAAAGGCACAAAGGCCAAAAAAATAACTTAAAAAATAAAAAATCGTACAAGAATCTTTGAAAAGGGATTTTTTTTTCCTCAAATGACAACTCACAACAGAACAAAACCACCTGCACTTGTGTCTCAAATTATCAAACCAATTTAGGGCCGTACACCAAGAAAACCAAAATTTTGTTGCATTACAGGTGAAAAACTCATTTAGACAATGTGGTTTCATCATCTAACAGGATGTGTTCTCCTGTCAGAATCCTGTACGAGTAGGGAAGTTTGGGATTATTTGGTATTGCATAGGAAAAAAAGCACAATATGATTTTCTCTATAGTAGTCTGGAATTGTAAAATAATCACTGGCATGTATCTTCAGTAGGAAATCTTTACCACACAATGTCAGCTTGTAACTTACTACTGCTCATTTTAATGAGTCAAAAAAAAAAAAGACACATTTTGTCCGTGCATTGCAGGAACGGAACACTAAGTACACAAACTCTGAGAAACAGTTGTCTAGTGTATATAGTTTAGTTATTTTGTATTGTACTGATTAAAAAAAATAAATAAAAATTAAGAAAAAACTATTTTGAAGGTCTACTTCCACCTTCCAATATTACAGCAAAGTATCAGACGTAAATCAGTACGTGTGATCTGAGAGGATACTCTAACAAGATTACAATAGCGATTTGTATTGTCTCTTCATGGCTCAACTAGGTCGGCTGGTGATCAATTGTAAATCATTCTGATAGAACTGACCTTCGATAGAACAGAGCTAAAAAAGTTGAAATGGAAGCAACTACCATATTAGCTATGTAATACCATCCTGTTTTATAAAGCCCATCTCTGCCATGTACACCCACAGAAGGGCAATTGTTTTTAGTCATTCCTGAGATGGGAGTTTATATTTGAAGAGAGAAAATCAAGAAAACATGGTCATTTTCTGTCAGTCAAAGTGTACTGTTAAAGATAATTACACACAGAAACAAATATTGTACTATAATAATCAAGCATTTAATTTATATTCCTCACAAATCCAACTCTGTAAAACACAACTGTTACTCAACTTATACACCGACACAAGTGACTCTGATGTGTAATGGCCCCTGAGTTAACGTGTACTTTTCTGTTACGTTCGTACAGTTATTTTGAATTGACACATTGGTGTCATTTTCTGGTCTTACAAAGCGCAAGGAGTGTTTTCCATCATCACAGTCCAGTTTAAAGATTGTTTTGCTAAGTCAGCAAAGAGAAGTAGTAACCAGTTGAATGAAATCTGTGTTGGGAGCTTTAACAATGACTGAATTACCTGAATTTCAAACTTATTTTGAACCATTACATAGAGAATTAAACTCTCTGCCAAGAAACATCATCAGGAGGCTCTTCTCTTCAATATTTCAAGCTGATGTGCTAATGCATGCTGTAAGGTTAAAGAATATAGCTACAAAAACTTCAGTATCTTATTGCAGGGCTTTAAACTCTTATGCATGTCTGTTGAACATCCCATTTCCATTTAGTTTAGCAGACATCTGGTTGGAAAAAAAGTACCCAGTGAAGAAATGGGTGAGTATTATAACCTTGTGAACCCCAAGCAGTCTCTGGGTGTTTTTTGCCCTTATCACATTTTTATTCAGTGTGGGCTCATTTTTCATTGTAATATAAAGACCTATACCTGTATGGGAACAGAACAATCATGGCTAGAAGTAGAGACAACTAAACAATCTCTTTTGTTCAGTAAAACACAGTCACAAATGTGTGGTTTATTTGTTAAACTTATTTTTTGTTGTATTTTTTTTTTGATTATTTATCTTTTTTCCAAGTACCTACAGCTGTAACTAATACTAAAACAAAAGATTTTATTGCATGGATCTACATGTTATAGATATTTATCTATTTCCACTTTGATAACTTTTACAAACTCTGTTTCACACTACTCTGTACATCGGCTTTAAAATGATACTTCACCATGCTGAATGTATCTTTAAACAACTTGCTGACAACTTGCTCCTCTGTATACTTTTTTGAGTGATGACACATTAATTTTATTGCTACAGCATGTTTCATGTCTCTCTAATCTGGAGGAGCAGAATGGGTATGTTAAATTCAGTGACACTGAATAAATACATCTCTAAAAAAAAAAAAAGTTCAATTTTATAATGAACATAGTTTGACATGTATAAATCAGTCATATCAGTTGCAGAATTGAACTGATGCAGGCCATTGCCCTATCTTGTGCTAGTTCCAGCTGGGGCTGTTTTGTGTATTTTAGTTTATTTATATTTTAGTTTTAGTATATGCAATATTGCTGATCAATTTATTTAATTATGCTGTAATCAAACAGGTCATAACTGTACTCTCATTGCTACTTTAACGGCATCTAATTAAACCCCAAAATCTCATGTGTATCGAAGTTACTTATTTAGTTTTTTTACATGAATAAACATCGTTTTAGCTTAAAATGGGCCGTGATTTTGAAAACCAAAAAACAGAATAAAAATAAATCTCCTCTTGAAATCACTGAATCTTTACCCAAACGGTGTGAGTGCGTACGTGTGAGCGTGCGTGTTTTCATGTCTCTACCTGCAGATCCTTCATGTCCTTCTCCAGTCGGAGTCTCTCAGAAGTTTCTGTCTCCAGCAGCTGAGAGGCTGATTCTCCAGTGTTCCGCTCATCAGCCAGCTCTGATGACAGCTCTGTGATCTGATGCAACACATGCACACAGTCCCACACATTAAGTGTCAAGCAGTCATCTATATTGCATTGATGTATAGCTTAAAACACTGACTCTGTAAGAAACAGTGTGACTTTGTTGAAGGCCCAGTTTGATCATTTATGTCAGTAACTGTTAAAAGATCGTCAGGGACTTGTTAAGAACAGGCTAACTGACTGACCAAATTTAAGTTTAGTATGACAGTCATGGACACAACAATGTATAAACAAATCATGAAACTGAACAGTCTACTCTCAAAATCGGACTCTTTTTGATCATTCCTTTACAGCTCTCTCACTAGTTAAAGGGTCTGTGAAAAAATCTTTGACATAAACTGTCTTTTGGTTTTGTTCCCCTCAGACATGACCCAGATCTCCCTCAGTATGTGTGTGTTCTCACCCGGCTCTCAAGACGGTCGCTGTTCAGTCTCAGCTCATTCCTCTCTTTCTCTACTTTCTCCAGCTTCTGTTTGAGCTGCTGGATCTCTTCCTGGAAAGGGAAATACAGAAGGTATTGAAGAGAGACATACATGTTTGTGGACAGAGTAATTACACCCATAACTGGTTCTCATGGGTGTTTTCCTTCTGCAAAGAAATATCTGATATCCATCATCTTGTGTAGACGATAAAATATCATCATTACACAAACACTGATTGTAAAAATGTTAATTCAAATCCTCAAGCAAAGTTTTCAAGATTTGGTGACAATTCCAAGCACTTTCATGGAAAGTTTTTGTTTTTATATTAATGGGGAGGATATTTGTAATATTGATGGATATACTAACATAAACACAGTTTGATTTAAAGAAAACCACAACAGATATAAAATAAAAAACACCACAACTTCTACTGTATCAGCCTTCAAAAATCCATCAGTCTTACATTCCAACAAAAACAGTAGTTGTGACTCTCCAATTCAAAGGTTGAAATCATTCTTCTTACAAATATGTCCAAATTGCGGCTGTGTGTGTGTAAACTCACATCCTTGCCACGGATCTGTTCCTCAGTGAGCTGCACCTCTATAAGAGGTCTGACGGTGGTGAAGAGCTTCCACCATGGCCAACCTTTGACACCACGATTCTTCTTTATGTTCTTCTGGATGCAGCGGATGGCCAGATCCTGGATCTGTCACATACATGCAACAATATTTAGCAGATTTTTAAAAAAGCATAAAACGCATCAGCTGTAAGCAATATCTTCTCAAAGTAGAGTAATTTATAACTAACAAAAAGGCCACTCTGAGGAGTTTTGAAATGCGGTGATGTGTCTTGTGAAAGTAAACTCACTTTTAAACTTGGAGTTTATTATTTATTCATATGTTAATCATATATTTATAACTATTTCCCTAAATATGTTTTAATCTTTCCAAAATTACAGTTAAGGACAAAATTATTAGTCACCAAGCGATAGTGGGTAAAGGCATGGAGCATTTTCCTAAACGTCTGTCCAAGGTTAACATGATTCATCAAATTTTTCAGCTTTTCCCAAACTTTTAAAGGTTCTCATCTTGTAATTTATTTTTTTTTTTAAATCTTTAAGATTGCTGCAGAGCAAATACATTGAATTAAGGTGTTTAAAATTCTTAAACCTCATGGGAATTCGTCAGGAAAATTTAGCAAATTGAAATGTTTAGCTTTGAAACCACACCTGAACCCTGTCTGACTTGAATGTCTCAAACAAACAACACTGTAGCTGGAAAAACTAGTTCCCACTGTCCAGTCTCTGTTAAAATTCTGTTGAATATTTGAAATAGGAAGATGAATATCACTTTGTGAAATAAGCTTCACTTTCATCTACCTGTACTGCTGTTTACTGGCCTTGTCTATGAACGTACTAACATGAATTCATTTGAAATGGTCGCAGGGTCACCGGACCCTCATCAGTGCATACATATCCACTGATTGCGCTCTGTTGCATTTCTGCATTGATTGATACAGGATAAACTTTATTGTTTTTTTTCTTCTATATTTAGACATGCTTTAAAGTTTGTCTGATGTCACTTGGGTTTTTTGATCACAAATGTGTACAAAAACAGATGAATGGAAATGTGTTCAGTATTATAGTGTTTAATCCCTGATAGTGACAAGTTTGTTAATTCTCTGCATGCTTGGCATAATTACGCTTGGGGTACCAAACAAGGCGATGACTGACCTGGAACAGGCTATGCAGATGTATGTAAATGTCAACCAACACCTTTGTTCAGCCTCGTTGAAACTAACCAGAGTGAGTTCACATTTACAGTATTAAATAAACATGGCATCTATAGAGGAATGTAAATGCAATGTGATGGGATGGTGGAGAAATCCTGCCCAGTATTCTGCTGGAGCCTCATGGAGCTGGTCTTGAGGATAGTTTAAAGCAGAAGTGAGCCCAAAAGAACAAGGTCAGCTTTTCTTGTTGTGTATTGTTTTAGTGCGTCTGGAGGTAATGCTCAGATAGCAACTCATGCTTATGTTGTTTTAAGATTCTGCTGATGTGCGAAATTCATCCTGCAGTTGTTGTGAGAACCATGTTCCAGGCCCTTGTGTGTTTGGTTGCTGATTATGGTGGTCCTGAAACCTGAAAATGTAATGGTATGTCTTCGTCTTCCACTGCCCTTTCCTCTACCTCTCCTTTACACCTGGCACCAGCAGGCCGCTATACAGCCCAGCATTTCATGTGCACGCACACACGCACGCGCGCACACACACACACACACCTACACACACACACACACACACACACACAAGCAGCAGCATCTGCCCACCTGTTCCCAGTTGGGGTGGTGAAGGTGGGGCGAGGGTTCTGTCTTTAGGCAACTATTTAATTAGGCTCAGTGTTGGCTGGCTGGCAGTGGAATCCCCCACGCTCCTCCACTCTCAACTGTTCCCCATGAATGTCAAAGAGATAGAGAGAGGAGAGACAGACTGCAGGGCTTCAAAGCAGCCAGAGGATCTCTTCTATTTGTCTGTTCCCCCTTGGTGAGGCTCAGTCTCCTTCTCCAGCTTTCCATACTTTCTCCCTTTTCTGATTCTCCTCCCTCTGACTTATTTGCAAGAAGGCTTTGAACGCTGCTACCCCAGGGGAAAAGGGGTAGGGGAAGGCAACAGGAGAGGTTCCCCAGAGCAGGCAAATAGACAAGATGGAGGAACAAACTTGCTGATTTTGTGTTGTGGCAAAATAAAGAGGGCCTGAGCACATTTCAGTCAAACTGTCTGGGTGTCATCAGTGACAAAACTGCAAAACAAATTCAAGGTTTGAACTTTTGGTATAACTATGACAATGTTCAGAGACAGAATTGTGAATGTATAACAACTTCAGGAAAAAAAATCCTAATTTGGTACTCAGTCTGAAACCTGCTATTACTATTGCACTGGATTTTTGAATGATTCTGAACATGCATGTATTTGAAAGATTCCTTATTGACAATTTTTGGAGTGGATTGGGAAGTCTGTCTGATGATAATGAATGAAGATACATGAGGCGGCTCCATTCTGTTTTGGCTGGATTTGGAGTTATAATACAAATGATTTTCATGAAATTGAATCCAATTTTTGCTGCACCTTGTGATCTACATTTTTTTGTCTGGGTTAGTCATTTACTGTATGGACATTGTGCAATTACCATTCTCCTCATTTCATTCTTTGGTTAGCGGAGGAGTCTGCCATTCCTGCTTGGGCTCAAACTGCCATTAAAGACTGAAGGGGATTTATGGAATGGTGATACTTGATCTCACTGATATCAGTCACTTATATTTGTCTCCCAGTTTACAGTTCATTCTTCTACAGGCATATCAGAGGTCCTACCCAGCATCTCCTATTGCTGCTGCTGCCGAACGCTCTCAACTGGCGAAATATAGGATGAATTCTATTTAGAAGCTGTCACAGAACTGCAAACGAGTATCAGTGTTAAACAGAGTTGACATTTTGTTCACCCAGCTATTTAACCACTGACATACACCAATTAGCCACATTAGAACATTAAAAAGCACCTATCTAGTATTGTATGAGTTCTTTTGGGAGCTGTGGGTTGCAGGGTGGGGCGTCTATGGATGGTATTCATTCCAACACATTCTACAGATGGTCAACTGGATTGGGATGTGGGAAGTATGGAGACCAGGTCAACACCTTGAGCTCTCTCTCATGTTCCTTGAGCAGCTCCTGAGCAGTTTTTGCAGTTTGGCAGGGAACTTCTATAGTAACTTCTATATAAATGCTAAGACCCAAGGTTTTCCTGGCAGATCTTTGCATTGTTACAAAATGATCAGCGTTATCCACTTGAGCTGTCAGTATTTTATTGTTGTGGCTTGTCAGTGTGTGTACACGTTCTAGTTACAAATGTCACAAATTAGACACCAAATGAATTTAATTTGACATGAAAGTATCCAGCATATAATGTTAGTTGTGAGCTATTGCTACACGATCCTAAAGTAGTCAATACTAGTCGTTGTCATTTTTGGATTTTGGTTGAACCAACCCTTTAACAATATATGCGTTTGTAGCACCCTCATAAAGTTTCTTCTTTATCACTGTTACAGTGAGACCACAATAATTCACCTTCCATCCATTTCTTATTCTCTTTATTGTCACTCTACTTGCAGCTTTCTCACTCCTCACCCCCCTGCCAAAAAATAATAAAAATCACAAGGAGAGAGGAAATCCACAGAGCAAAATTCACTAAGTCCCAAAGAGAAAATGACTATGCAGAGACATGCTGAGGTGCATTAGAACAGCCACTAAAGTGTAAGTGTTTTCCTCTTCTCTGCTTTGAGAGCTCATACCAAGTCTGAGATGGCCAGAATGCCTACAAATTGCACATTAGCAACTAGTTGCTTTCACCAGTCTGAAAGAAATGAACCTGATTCCAAACTACAATAATTACATGAGATTACTATTTACCCCAAGAGATGAGGCTCAAACTGAGCCCTTCAGGGGAGACAGAATAGTGAAGTGAAACCCAAATGCCCTTGAAAAGTAATTTTAGTTGGCAGGCCTGAGCACTGTGCAGCAAGAAAGAATAAACTGAAATGGTAATGAAAGCTTAATCTCCACAAACACACATACATATACACACATACTAGACACACGAAAACTACACACGAGATTTAACTGTGTGTTCACATGAGAAAGCTTCCAAAAGAAACATCAAAACGTCCATGAAGCAATGCACAGAAAGTCATAAGATCCATACTGGAATCTTTAAGTCACTGTTATGTTTTCTACATGTCAGGCTCACGCTGGTAAAGTAACACCCCTGTGATAATGGCGAAGACAAAATCCTCTAAAAGGGTAACTTGTGAAGCATCCAACAAGCTCGTTTGGCAACATTCTAAATGCATCTCCATGGGTTTAAACTCCTTTTTTTATTCAAATGGGAACTGTGCAAAATAAATGAAATTCCATGAAGTTCTTAAAAACACATGAACACAGGAAAAAGTAACTGGTTTGCCTCCACTGTTGGGATCAGGCATCATGGCCTGGCAGGGCTTCTTCCAGCTTGATCTAGATTGCCATTAATATTGATTGTGGGTGGGAAGTCGGTGCAGGACCATGTCCTTGTGGCTGAACCAGCAGACTCCTTGGCCTGGGTGGCTTTGCAAGTGGTGGTAGCCCCCATGAAGCATGGTATGAACTCTAAAGGCACTGATCAGGAGTGTGGACAGCAAAAAAGAAGTTCCTCCCTGACAATTGTAGTTGTAATCTGAACTTCGACTTGAAACTGATCCCCTTCAAACTGACCTCAGGCAAAGCCGTTTGGAGTCATGTAATCGTATGTGATTATGTAATTGAAGCTGCCTTGTGGTGCATTATTGTAAGCCAAAAAAAAAAAAAAAAGATGCTTACAGTAAGTATAATAAATACCTTCTAAATACGTGGAGAGTACTCCTAACCTCACAAAGTTGATTTTTGAGGACAGTAAGCAGGGCATCAAGAAAGAGATGAATAATTTTTGCAAGTTTAAAAACAATGCCATCTTAAGGTTGTTGCTTCTCATAAGATATGCCTGCACTGTAAAAACAGCGTCAGGGTTCTTACAGTTCTTTGAGAATATTGTATTGGAATATGGCTGTGCCAATAAAGCAAGAAGAACAGAACAAACCAACATACAGTCATATGACTGATAATAGGAGATATGGCAGCCAGGAGGAGGGGAGAAAATGCTGGATAGGACAGGAAGATAATCAGCCCCTGATCAATACTTCAGAAGCAGAAGAAGACACAAGGACTGTGGTAGAATCCGAGTGGAAAGGAGTTGCAGATTGACGGCTCTCTGTCTATCTATTCAGGCCTGTTTCAGCTTTGGCAGAATGACAGTTGATTACTGAGGACTTGTGATCTGAAGCTCAGGTTTTGTCTGGCACTAAAGCATCAGTCTTGCAGGGAGGGTAGCAAATGAGATGACAAGTAGTCACCGAGTATTAAAAGAAGTAGCTCAGGTTCAACTCAGAGGAAATCATTTTACTAAAGCTTTATGCTTATTCAGATTTTCTAAGGTCACAATGGGATATATTTCTAACAGTTAATGTGGGACTTGTAAAGCCCAATTAGGCCATAGCTTAAAGTTGTGTTGATAACATCATTGAAGTAGTTAAGCCAGAAAAATGGTACATAAGAACCATTCTAATTTCTTTAAGTATAAAGCTACAGAAAGTTTTATAAAGGTCACACTGTTTGCTTTTGTTGAAAATGAGGTCATTTTCTGTGCTGCCTCGCTCTATATGTGATGGGTCTCCCATATTCAGTGCAATTATCAGCGCATGCAGCCACATGTTGTATTAATGTCTCATACTGGTTCTTCATAAAGCATGCCTCACCCATTTTCAACCTGCAGGAGAAGCAAGGCTACACTCAGTGAGCCCACCTTCTACAGCAGGTGCAGCAGTCTTACCTTCCTCTTCTTGAATGCCTGTCTGGCCAGGTATCCCCTGCAGGCAGCCTGAAACAGAGAGATGTTCCTCCGAGTCTGGACATCTCGGTGTTCCTCCAGCCTGGACAGAGTCCCCGCTCTGAAGAACACCTGCGGGAGGAGAGAGAGAGAGAGAGTCAGGACAGTCACAAATAATTCCCGTCTAGAAGGTAGGGACATGTGATCAATTGAGTTCACACATACTGTGACGACATACAACTGCAAACAACTGTCACCTGGGGGAAAACCACTCTTAAAATTCTAACTTTTATATAGTGCATATTCATCTGAAACAATTAAAGTACAGACAGGCTTTTTGTAACCTGTAAAAACCTGTCTAATGACGTAGCTGCAGACACATGTAGCATGGATTGGCTACTGTCCTCTTAGGCACTGACAAATAACAGATTGCTAAACTCTCTGTTATTACAGTACTATATTAGTGGAAACATGCCAAACTCCACTTCACAATTTCAGAGGACTAACTAGTGAGTGGGAACAGAATTGTTTCTAAATTCCATCATGGAATGAGGCCACACCAAGGGAGAGCCCACTTGTCACCGCAACAAACTGACTTGTATCTCTGACTGAGGTATTTCAAGTTTGTCTGCTTTCTTCTAAAAACTGATGGTTTTAACTATGGATGGATGTCCAAAAAGCCGACTAAGCATTGACCTAGGGAAGCAGAAAGTCTGGGGAGTGTTTTGTTAAAGACAGGGATGTCCTAAGCTAATTGAGAGTCCTTTACTATTGAGTATGTGAGTTCAGTCCTACTTCTTATATAGGATTTATTCTCTAAATGTTCATTTTAATACATGTTTTTTGCTATTTTATCCTCTGTTCATAAGTGCAACACCCATCAACCACTTTATGTAAGCCAATTGACACCCAAAGCTCACACTAAGCACATTTAAAGTTGACATGCATTAAAGGACAATGCAGCATATTCTAATGGGCTGCCTTGCTCCAGCTGACAGTGTGGGCTAACATGGGACACAAAGGTTGTGGTTGTTTTGATGTGCCTGTCATTTCTGCTTACCCCTCCTATGCTCTCAGCTCTGGTGCTCAACACCTACTTCTGACCCACACCAGACTCCGATAGTGCTTTGTCTATGGCCATCCAGAACAACACTTAGGCTGAAAGCACTGTCAGAAATTAAGCAGGAACATCTGAACCTTTTGTATTTCAGTGGAATTATGATAAGTTGAGTTTTTGTAACAGAGAGCAAAGTATAATTTTGATTAGCTAACGCAAATGTCATCCATCAAATGGAAACCAATAAGTGACAAGGCCTGAGCAGTGTGTTTGTCTTGTGTTTTCTATGTATGTATTTGACCTTATGTTATTAATTGCTTATAAATCCTTGTTAAAGTGCTACCTACAAAATGGGAAAAATCTTGATGATTTGCATGCTACTTTTAAAGTTTTGCTCAGTAGTGGTCAGCACTTGTGTTGTTGCTTAATGTCTTGGCTGTCCACATCAGCTATCTCTGTAATTTTCCTGGCCAAATCATTATAATCTAACACCCTATCTCCTGTGTCTTTTGCTGATGTTTTGGACAGCAGTTGTGCTACTTCCTGAATGCCAATGAGAGCACCAATTTCAGTTTTGACTCGGAAGAATGACGACAGAGTGACACAAGGCCCCCTGTAAAAGCCTACACCATAATGTCTCTAACTGCCTCTCGATAATTTGTGTCTGGGGAGAGACATTGCTCTGTTTCTCCTCCCTGAATTAGCTGCCAGCTCTTTGTGGAAGTAGATTCATTAAGTAGAGCTTGAGTGACGTTTTGTCCTTCTGAGGATGTGACTGTTTCTAACTGACTATAATTTTCAAAATTGGTTAAGCAAAGGACGAAGTATGGGTGCAATTTAAGCTTGCTGTTTTGATGTCTTGCAGACCTTGTGACTTCACCACTATACAACGATGTTTAACTTAGCAATGAATATTTACCCAGATTGCGAACATCAGGTCCCAGACTTACAGTCACTCTATTTAATAACTTATCCCCTTTACAGTCCTAGCAAATTAATAAGGTTCTTGGGTCTACCATATAGTCATCAGCACTGTCACCCCACAGCAATTGTACTGAATCCACCGATCAGCTTGGGCCTCCTGTCTGGAGTCTGTCTATGTGGGTCTCCTTTTTCCTGCTAGTCTAAGACATACAGGTTAGATTACCTGGAGACTTTAAATTGCCATAGCTGTAAATGGTTGAGTTGAGATGGGCACCAGCCCCTGCACAAGGAAAACAGCCAGAGATACTGGATGGATGGATATTTAGGAAGGCCATGCTAAGTAAAATACAAAAGGCCATGTTATGACTGCACAGCTAGTCCACCTTCATCTTCTACTAGGACTCTCCCTTCCAATAAATCCAACAAGAGGCACTTTGGCATCAGATGTTTACAAATGGCTTTACCGCATTAATATGCAATATGTGGGGCACTTGTGGTGAAAGGATTAAGTTCCTACTTGGTATCATTCATAGGCTGGCCACAGGGATATACAGTCGTCCTCAAATTTATTCATACTCTCCCATTAAAGAGGGACAAAAAAAAAAATGTGTCACTGAAATAAGTTGAAATTGACAAAAGTAATAATACATTTTTTTTAAAAATATGAAAATCATGACATTGCTTTTAAATTGTAGTTCAACAGAAATATTAAAGAAAAAACAAAACAACAACAACAACAACAACAAGAAAACAAGCATGATGGGACCCGTAAACTAGTTATTTTGGCCCACTGCTCAACTGCTCTTCAGCAAAGTGCTCTAATTTGTCTGGGGCATTTTTTTGTTTGTTTGTTTGTTTTTTTAATGATTCTTTTCAACCACAATTCAAAGTAATGCCTTATTTCACTAAATTATAATTTAGCAAAGTTTTGTTTATTACTACTTCTTCAACGTCTAGTTGAGTGACTATTGTGAAATTTGCCTTTTCTTTCATGGAAGGGTATGAGTAAATTTGAGGGCAACTGTACCTACAGAGTCAACAACAGTGTCCCTGTATGACCTTGACACTGAGTGACCATCGCTCAGTGTCTATCCTGCATATGTATATATGTATGTATATCCTGCAGTTACAGATAACTGACTACAAGCAACTACTGTCTGACTCTCTTTGCTTCAGAGTCCTGCAGGGCTCGTACAGTCACTTGAAACACATTTATGGCCCTGAGAGACTCACTGTTTGGATATTTGTGCTTTGGTACTGTGAGAGTTCCTTCTACTGTTTGAGGTGGAGTTTTAGTAGAGAGTTGTAGTCCTGCTGCGACACTGCTGGTAGTATAGATTAATTAACAGCATGTTGTTGATCAGCCAGGAGAATCTAGTGAAGCTCACTACAGCCCCACAGTCCTGTTTTCATATGTTATGTTTACTGCCACAGTGGAGAGATAATGTCTTGTTCAGGACCTGGTAGCACAACAGACTATTAAAGAACGCTGCCCTTGTCTTATTTACTTATTTATTATGGCTTTTACTTTTGTGCTGCTTTTAATATGTAGACAGTCAAACTTTAAAAATCCAGATTTTTTGTTACTCAATCTATTAAAAAAAAAAAAAAAAAGGTTTTAGTTTCAGTAGGCAAACTCAGGCATCATGCTGGCACTAGTATTTTATTCAGCATTTTAAATAATGCCCAGGCATTTTGTTGTAGATAAAATAGTTGATAAGGAATGACTAAGTTATCAACAATGGAAAAAATATTATTTGTTCCCTCTCACCACATGGATTGAACCATAAATATATTATGCTCCACTGGGAAATGCTGCTGTGGGCAGACGATGTCAAACTCGCTTTGGAGAAGATAACACATCTGGTTAACATGAACTGCTGTGCTCCTCAGAGACCCATTTGTCAGCGTAGGGATGGTTTAATGATGCCAGGCAGAGAGCCACACACAAGCTGGCAGTAAACCACAAGGACAGTTTGGCAATGAGAACTGTGTCGTTTGCCAGCCTGGAGAAGATGCAAACACCTGCAAAGTCGGCACCTAATGTGTCACGGGTGACACTTTGATGATGAATTAGAATCAAAACAAAACTAGGATATAAAACGTTGTGTTTTATTCCTTCTAGCTTGAGAGATTAGCAGCAAATGTAAAGAAGATTACACAAAGGGTGTTGATGCCTGTGCTTTTATTCCACTGCATGCTAGCTGATTCAGAGATGACGTTCTGTTAATGCTGCTTCAACAAACAAGAAAAAACAATAGCTCATCAGTAAGGCTGGGTGATATGACAAAAAGTCTTTCTCATTTACAGTAAGAAGCACCAGTATGTGTGTTGTTGCTTGTCTCTTCTCCATCTGCTACCCTGCTATCCCCACCCCAACCATCCCCCCCCCCCCCCAACCCCCACCCTTACCCCAACCGGTCAAGGCAGATGGCCGCCCTCCCTGAGCCTGGTTCTGTCTGAGGTTTTTATCTTTTGTCCTTCCAGCAAAAGAGAAGGTTTTCGTTCCTTCCAACTGGGGCCAAGTACTTGTTTAAAAGGAATCCAACAGAACTCTGGATTGTTGGGTTCTCTGTTTAAAATTTGTCAGTCTTGAGATGACATGTGCTGTGAATTGGCATGATATAAATAAAATGGAACTGAGCTGTCTATTCACTGTTTTGCCACAGATGGCACTACTGGAAAAGGTGTTTTTCCATGTGATGGGTTTAAACGCCGACATTTGAGACTGTCTGACCATGTTGATGCCTGTCTTCAGTGGAGGCGCATAAAGTCTTCCACAATAGCCTTTCGGCTTTCTTGCATCTCCACTAGTCACAGTGTATTGTATAATTGGAATTCAAGCTCACCCATTCGTATAATTTCTACTCACAGATATTCACAGAGTTGCACTCAACCTACTACTAGCTTTCCCACCTGGGATGATCCAGTGGTCGAGCGGTTAAGGCCCCCGGTGAAACTCTACCTTTGGGGCATGTCATTCACCTCCTCTCCTTTATCTGCCTCTCTGCTGCCTCTATCTGCTAATAACGCTTGTCTGTCTGTCTGACTTCAGATATCAACAGCATGTGAAGTGATAGGTAACTCCACCACACTGTTGTGCTTTTTGTTTTAATTGGCTGTCACTTCCTGAAGGATATAACTAGGTGGAAAATTGTTTCCGTGATATAAAGCGCTGTTTCACTGCTCAAGCGGTGTCTCTTATTCCCCTAAGAAAGATAGCACTCTGTTCTTAAGGGACATGCTCCGCCCTCTGGTTTGCATCTTTGTGGAGAAGGATTCATACTGCAACAGGATAATGAGGCCAATTATCCCTCAAAGCTTTGGAAAAACTACCTGCCAAAACACTTGACCTCAACCCCACACAACATTTAGGAGGCACTTTAAGACTGAGAAGGCCAAACATTCTTGACACGACAAGAAGCTTTTTGAAACATGCAGTGATATGCTGAACAAACTGGTAGAATCTGTGCTGCTCAAGTGCTGCTGTCATTAAAGCAAAACATTTTTAAAAAAAAGGGGCAAATACGCAATAAATTATTCTGAAATTCATAGATAATTTTCAGAGATTCAACTTCTCACTTGAATTGTTAATCTATTATTATGGCAAGATGACATAGTTTAAATGTTGCTTTAAACTTTTTTATATCAGTAAATATGCATAATTACCAATAATTTTAATGACCTAATTTTTATTTTTAAAAAGTTTATTTTGAAATTAATTACTTTAGTCTATTAAATTAGGCCCACAAGTAATAATTTTAGTGTGAACTTAAAAAGCAAGTAAAACCCAGACGCTGATTACTGCTTATTGTTCTGAGTGGCTGGCCTGAACCAGGTATCACTGGATGGGGACCCCACACCAATGTCTATGCATTCCAGCAACAAGTTGGAAGGTTAAGGTAGTGGGAGGCGGCTGGGTCGTGGGAGTGTTTTGATCAGAAAGCCCATCTCACAAGGCCTCTGCCAGTGGAGTTCTATGGGTGCAAGGAAGGAGATGACAGGCCCTGGCAGCCGCGGGCTAGAGCGCCTCATGAGACCTGCACAACAGCCACAGGGAGAGCAGCGGATAGCCAACAGGGCTCCATTATCGAAGGTTATGAAAGGCCGTCTGTGAGCCAAAGAGGGAGCATGCTTAGGGTTTGTTCATGCAATCAAACTTCTGTCATATCACCCAGGTCTATCATGTGTAATAACAAAATTTACTATGTATCTAAGTATCTTTATTAGTGATCTCAGACTTTTTTGGATGCACAGTAGCGTAATAATCATGTGATATTCTCCACTTTGATGGAGCTAATCTATTCAAAATGATTCCCACACCGCATAAGGTACACGGTATAATTAGACAGTAAGAGTGTAAAAGGCTCAGTGTGTGGGTAGGTGGCACTTTGCCTTTTCAAATGTCTGCCAGTAAACATAATATGAAACAAGAAGCATCAGTAATATTAACAATATGAGTGGCACAGAGCAAAAAAGTTCCAAACTGAAACTTTATCTGAACTTGGAAAAACTAGCAGGCTGACTGCCACGTACCAACTCTAAGGCAAGGTTAAACTCCCTGCAATATCTGCCAAGAAACTTCTCTAATTGACAGCTCAAGGCACTCACTGTTCTTTATTCCACAGACATTCACAGATCTAATTAACAAAACTATCAGCCTGTCTTTTTCCTTGTGATTAGCTGTTTTTTTTTTATCTCAAAGAGTCTGTCCATGTCTGGCTGCTGCTTGGCAAGGGTCACAGTCACAGAGAGTCGCGAAGATCAGCCCCTCCTCATTGAAGGAAAAAGATTAAAAACAAAACAGACCAGGACTTGTGAAGGTGAGAATAGAAGTGTGAAGATTTGTCATTGCAGAGAGGACAGAGGCAGAGGAACAAAAGAGAACTAACACAGAAGTGACTTCGCAATGCTCCCTCCCATACCTTTTGCTAGAAAGGTGGGCAAGGAAAATGGAGGGCATTTTCTAGTTATCTTTTTAATTGCAAGTGTCACAGAGTGAGATGATGTTTGGATTTGAATCCAAGACTCACGACACAAACGATGCACCTGCTGGAGAGAGTCGGATCTGTGCAAGAAGTGCTGTTCTAAACAGACAGTACTTTCACATCGAACACAAAGACAGTAAAGTAGAGTGGAAGTTACAAGAGTGGAAGTTACCAGGACTTTTTATTAAAAGAAGGAGCTCGGAGCAGCAACCTGACAAGTGTGATATGAATTAGTCGTGTGGAGGTGCAATAGCAGCAAACAGCATCAATACAGAATTAAAAGCACAAAGGTACAACAAACTGGGAAATGTCTCACTTAAATGTGACAAAACAATAGCCCTTTGAAATAAGGGTAACAGTTCTTTTGTATACAAAGAGATGAAAGATGTGCATGTATTTGACTTCACTCACCCTGCTCAGCCCCATGTGGTAGGTGCTCTTCTCTAGCTCCAAGGACTCCAGCAACTCCTCCACTGCCTGGAAACCAGCACAGAAAACAGTCAGTAGACAGATAAACAAAAACAACCCCAGTTTGTTCTGGGCACGATGACATGACCTGTCTGCCCAAGTGATGCCAGCTTGGTGCCATAGCAACAAACCGCATATACCCTCTGGCACCAGCTAACACAAGCACACACCTCCCCTGATCTGCCCCGAGGGACTTTAAAACACAAAACAGGTCAGACAGAGTTTCTCAGGTCCCTTTTCAGTCAGGTTTCATCCATCTTGTCAACCTTTAGAAGACAAACTGCAGTCTTTAGACTGCTAGGGAAACAATTCTGAGGTTTCTGAAGGCTGATAATGAGACTCAGAATTAACAATCACAATAGCCAATAGTCTGAGTAAAATATTTATCATTTTTGCTAAAACTGGACTTAAAAGAGGCCCCCGTGGTTACTTGTGGTAAAAGCAAATGTGTTTGTAAATGTGAAACATCTTCACGGCCGCAATCTCAGACAAGCAACAAAAAAAAAGAAAGACTGCAGCATTGTTCTTTCTAACATCCAATATATGCAAGTTTTGTTTTTTTTGTGAATTCCTTGTGCATGAGCACACAATTTAAATCCCTGCAGGACAGACAGACTCCTTGATAGTTTTAACTTTAGTCAGATCTCCAGTAATTAACTCATAAATAGGGAAACGTTTTAAATTTAGTTTGCTTCTCTTGAGTCTCACCTTCTAATCGACGTTGTTGAGTTTTTAATGTCATCCTCAATTAAAATCCCAAATTTGATACCTTTGCATCACAAAGGTCTTTAGAAGGCACCAACCAAAGTTGAAGTTGCTCTTTGATTAATTTTCTAAGAGAAGGTCAATAAATTACAAGAGATGC